GGGAAAGAGGAAATGGCTTCAAATTGCTGAGGTCAGAGGAGAAAGTGTGAAGGAGAATGGACAGAGAAGGGCAGATGTGCCCAGGGAGGGTGAAGCAGCCACGCTTGCTCTGCCCACTGTGCTGAGCACCAGGGCTGCCTGCTGACCTGCTGTGCTTATTTGGTTGATTTTACTTTGAACTGAACTCCTTTGCAGATGGGAAAAGAAAGATCTGAGGTTAACAGGGATGTGGACTGGTTCTTTTCTCACAAGGTAATGACCAGAGAGCAGATCTTTGCTCTGTCTGCACAAGGCCTTCAGGAGGCCTTGCTACAGCTTTCTCAGGTAGTTAACAAAGCAGGCAGTAAAAAAAACCTCTTAGAATATCAATACCTGTCACCAGTAATTGAATTTTTAGTATTCCTTTCATTGTAGAGACTTGTAGAGAGTTAATGAACCACTCCCAAGTTCCTTTAAGTGCTCCTCAGTGGTACCTCCACACTCCCTCTCACCCCACTCACTGCATGAGCCACTTTTTGCTTTTGCACAATGGGAGTTGGTCTCCACTTACCAAAAAGGTGGGGGATCCCAAGCAAGTGATTTTCAGCCCCTGGCAAAACTGTTCCTCCAGTTTCAGGAGAAGCAAAGGTAAATGGCTGAGGCACATTAGGCAACTTCAACATGAAATGAAAATTCTGCTCAGCCACATGTGAAACTGTGCTGGGGCTTAGGGACACACAAGTCAGCACAGAGAAGAGGAAGGACTTAGGAAAAGTGGCATCAATCGTTTACATCCAATTCCACCCTCCAGGGAGGCTAAACTCTGTTTTCCCTAAGGCTGGTGAGAGTTGGGAACCTAGAATGGCCTTGAGAGAAGCAGGAAGAGAAAGCCCTGGTGTAACTGGAACCCTGCATGTGCCCACACCCCTCCATTTCAGTGACCTATAATGCTCAGAAAAATCAGTGCCATGTCCCCATGCATGGGGACAATTGCTTGCTGTCCTGCCCCACCATTGCTGACCCATGGTCTTTTCCATTTCCCCTCTTAGCTCACACCTTCTCCATTCCTGTGTGCTCCTAGTGCTGCCAAACTGTAGTGCCTTTCCTCTGCTGCCAAGGAACAGACCATGTACTTTGCAGGGCAGCCCAGTTGGACTGTTAAGCTACAGCTCAAATCCAACAGGAACTCTTTCCAATCAGTGTGTCAGAAGGCTGGAACCTGCAAGGACCAGGCTGGAACCTCCATCAAGGGGATGCAGGAAGGTGCTGCACAGGACTACACAGGATGCAAAGAGTGAGACACATCCTGCAGAACTCCCAGGTGCTGAGAGGACACCTGAAGCAGTGACCCATCCACAGTGCAACCTCATTTGCCTCACTCTACTGACCTGCCCAATGTTGAAAGTCAACGTGATGGCATAATAAAAGTTGGAGTTGGCACTTCCTGCATAAATCCAGAGATGCCACAGGACTGGGAACAGGAGGGAGCAGACAATGAGCACACAGGACAGGATGAAGATGTTCCGGAGAACTGCAAAAGAAAACCAAGCTGTTAGAATGTTGCACTACTGAGCAGCCACACACACCACCAGCAGTGGGAGTCAGGGCTGTGCAGGGGGTAGAGGCACGTGCCCACATGTACTTCTCTCCAATAACCTTTCACACTTTGCTTTCATAATTTCCTGGCTTTTATAAGAATTCCACTATACTTCCCTTGAAAATAAATCCTTCGGCCTTTGTTAGAGAGTGAAAACCTCATTTGTAGCTCTTTCCTTCCAGGTACAGCTTCCAAACACCCTTCCTTGGAGGACTTTGGGTTTTTGGTGTCTACCCTACAGCAACCAGCAGTTTTGAGAAGGGTCTTTCCAGCAGCACCACGCTTCAGAGAGCAGAGCACACCGTTCCCTGGCCTTGTCTAGCTGACAACAAAGGAAAGAAACGAAGTTGTGGGCCATAGGAAAACAGATGCTTTCCCAGGAGGTGGAAAGGAAATAAAAGCACCATCAAAGAAGCAAACTTATATAGGCCAAATGTGTTATAACCACACAAACTCAGGAGGTGCAAGTGTGGCCAGAATCATAAGTCTGCATGTGTCTGGTGGACAAAAACAAAGCACAGCGTTGTCTAAAAGAGCCAGGCACTGCTAGGCCAGAAGAGATGTTTTTTCTGTGAACTATTTATGCCTGTCCTTGGGCAGCAGCATCGTAGTTCAGCACTTGTGTTGCTGTCCTTGGCTCAGCTGATGTCTCTGAGGGTGACTGAAAGGCCCTGGACTGTTCCGCAGCGGAAGGAGCTGCCGGATATTTGAAGAGCCTTGTCACATCCAAACATCTTCACACCTATCTATTTAAACAACTTCTTTAAGCAGCTCTATTTGCTCACTGTAGGGTGGGAGCACGTGGCACGTCCCTCTCACTGGCCATAGTCCCCTTATCTGCAACTGAGCTCTGCTGAATCAGGGCTTCTTCCTCAGACATGCAGCACCTGCCGAGCTGTGATGCTCTCAGGGTCAGCCCGGGGGGCTCCCTGCCCTGTTCTGTCACAGTCCCCAGCTTTCCCTAGTCTGAAACTATTAGAGCAGATGGTCTCCAAGTCTCTGGACCCCTGATTCTGTCTCCTGACATCATGCAGGCTAGATGTCCACAGACACACTTGGCCTGGGTTGGAGAAGACTGCAGTAAAAGCCCTGGGCAACCTGGCAGGGGTAGTCAGAGCAGTTGGTCTAAGCAAAAAACAGCAGGAAAACTTCCAAGAGTGTCAGGTTTGCAAAATCTCCCCAGTGCAGCAGGTTCTAGAGACTGAGTTTGAAAATCATCAGGAAGCTCTCTGGTGATTTCAAGAGCTCTTTATGAAGAGGCTCTTTATGAAGTGTTTTAGAAAAACTGGACTTGAAGCACTTCAGTTACTTCCACTTCAAGCACAAAAGCAGATGCAAACCAAAAAGCCACAGCAAGGGGCAGGATTTTGAGGCTGGGGGACTCACCAACTGCTGAAGGACTTTTCAAATTGCACAGCCTGAGATGGGAGTGAAGCACTGGAAAGATGGATGTACTTTAAATAAGCCACATCCCTTGTGCAGGACTGTAAAAGGTTCTTACCAAATAAAGTTCATCCCCACAACAACTGGGAGAGAAGGGGAAGGAACAAGTAAAGGAACAAGTGAATAACATTCCCTCCTTGACCAATTTCAACCCTAAGTCCTAAAGACACATCAGAGACTTTATCACCAGAAAAATCAAACCTCCTTCCAGCCCAGCCCAAGGAGGCCACAGGAGCCAGCAGACAAGGGTCTGGTTTGGTTTAGTGGTGACAACTAGTGGACAGACTTTCTCATTCCAGACAGGGAACAATCAGCCACAAAGAACTTACATCTGTAAAGGTGGCTCCAGACTGGCAGGAAGGCCATGTACAGGGCAACATCTCCAACAGTTGGGTAGGACTTGAAGATAGAGATGATTGCAATCTGGACAAACATGAAGAACACGGGGTGTTCCCTAGGAGAAAAGACACAGAGAAGGAGAGGATGCAGTAGGGTCTCTGGAAACTGGAAATAAGTACCAACAAGGGCATAAGTGTACTGTGAGACAGGCCCAGAGGCCTCTTGTACCCCTGCTCTCTCCAAACAAGCTTCCCAGTGCTGGCTGGGATAGACTGAGCTGCTCTGCAGAGGAGCAGTGTCAAGAGGATGCACATCTGTTCACTGTCCTCCAACAGGGACGTGGTGTCTCAGCTCAAAATACATTTGTCCAGTTGGTCAGCCCACCTGCTCTTCCCCAGCTCTTTCTTCCTCACCAAAAAGCACCTCCACTCTGAAGGTTGTTTGGAGAAGCCCACAGTTATCCCTCTGGTGTGTCATGATGTCTGGATCCATTCCAAGACAACAGGATAAGCAGGCATATTCATGGGTGTTTGTATCAGGAAGAAGAGTAACACTGGGAGCACTGTGCACTAGGAATGTGCCCAAGATTTCACTTTTTTTCCTGACTAAAAAGAATTTGAAGTTCCAGCCAAGAGTTCTTGCTTTCTGCCTACACTGACTTCTGCTGTCAGGGAGCAGGCACCTCCACAGCCTCCATTTCTGCACTCTCTTTGATGCCTGCACAGACACAGCAGAGCCCAACTCATTCCATCTAAGGGGAATAAAGATTCAAAATTTTGGGAGATCTTTTCCAGGCTTGTAGATCCAGACATCTATTACCAGCCTTACAAGCTTCCACTGCACAACTAAGAGTAAAAAAAATGAGCAGAGAAACATACTTACTTTAGCTTTATTGCCAAGGGGATGGTGTAGAAGAACACGTTGATTTGAAACACACATACGAAGAAAAGACTAAAGTGTTCAAACATCTCTGCAAAGAAGTACCAGAAAAGGCCAATATTGGGAGTCAGATCCGGAACAGAAAGGCTGAAATTTGAAGGCAACATTTTAAAATGGTTGGTTTACACTTCTATGCTTCTGTTACATTAATTCATCATTGCGTGAATCTAGACTTTCAATCCATGGAGAGGAAGCTGAAGGGGTAACAATCTGAACAGAAAAGGAACTGATCCTTCCCTATGTGCCCATCAGGATTTAAACCATTCCCAGGCAGACACTTCTCCAGAGACAAAAATTTCTCAGCCACGGTAGCTCAATGATCAAATCAGTTTCTAATAAAGCCAGTGGAAAACACCTCCTGTCTTCTCTACTTTGAGCTGTTATTAACCAGCAGAAGTTGGCTGACACCTGCTCTCCTTCACACACTTCTCCTTTTCTTGCATTGCCAGTAAAATCACAGATCACACACTCCTCAGGACAGGGTGTGGGGCACCTGTGTGTGATGCACAATAATCAACATAAGGAGGGCTGGACAGAAAACCAGTAAAAAACTTTATACTTACATAAACCCGTAAACAGACGGAATAAAATCCCAGGAGTTGAGGAGGAAGAAGGAGAGGCAGATGATCACCACCAGGCTGCAGAGGTACAGGGCTGCATACTGCATTGTGTAGAGCCAGAAGCTTTTACTTTTCAGTTTTATTGGTATGAACTGACGCTGGAAATAAGAACCAAGGCAGATAGATAGTCCTCAGCAGGTAGAAAGGCACCAGAAAGCCTGAGTGTTCTGAACATCATTTCAAATCAGTGCCCTGTGGCATTGGAAGGAGCAGCTCTCAAGCACAATTTGCTTGGTGTTCTTCCCTCTGGCCAGTTGAGTCATTCATACACATCACACATATTTCCAGAGCTGTGCTTGAAAATCCAGTAGCCAAGCTGGTCACTTCTGCTTGACTTCTGACTGGTATGGGTTGGAAGGGACCTTAAAGATAATCTAGTCCCAACCCTCTGCCACAGGCAGGGACACCTCCCACCAGCCCAGGTTGCTCCAAGCCCCATCCAACCTGCCCTTCAACACTGCCAGGGATGGGGCAGCCACAGCTTCCCTGGGCAGCCTGGGCCAGGGTCTTCCTACACTCAGGGGAAGAATTTCCTCTTCATGTCTAATCTAAATCTAATCCCTCTTCCAGTTTGAAACCATTCACCCCTCATCCCATCACCCCTTGCCCTTGTCCAAAGTCCCTCCCCAGCTTTCCTGGAGCCCCTTCAGGCACTGGAAGGTGCTCTAAGGTCTCCCTGGAGCCTTCTCTTCTCCAGGCTGAACCCCCCAACTCTCCTGCCTGTCTCCAGAGCAGAGCTGCTCCAGCCCTCCCATCATCTCCATGGCCTCCTCGGGACTCACTCCTAGAGCTCCATGTCCTTATTGTGTTGTGCCTCCAGAACTGGACACAGCAGACCCTGCAGTGCTGCTGCCTTCTGCTGCAGGATCCCACATCAACTGGGCAAGTGAGAACCCTGCTCCACCACTCAGCACCCTGTGATGGCAGGTTCCCACCACACAGACTGGCACTCATGCTCCACTGAAAGGACATCCAGTGGGTTCCTAAGGACAAAGGAGCCCCTCTAAAAGGCTGCCTCCTCAGACAGAGGCAACTGCTGCAGCTCTGCCACTGCCACGTGTCCTGATGTCAACCAAAGACCTTGTCACATAACATGACATACAGGTGTCTCACTCCAGGAGGTCCCTGGCTGAATTTGTAAAGACAAATATACACACAGGGGAAAACTCCTTTGGGAATTACTCAGACTTCTGTAGTTCTGGAGCTTTTCCATTTGGTACTAGGGCTTCCACTGGCAGGAGATACTCAGACAGCCCCCTTCACCTGATGTGTGCTCTGGGTAAAGCACGTGCTACTTTCTCTGCCACAGTGTGTTGAACACCACCTGCTGGAACAATATAAGTAAGCTTACTATGGATTTTAGGAAGGACAGATTGGAAAGTTCTGCAGAAAAGCTATTAAATTCTGCACAAAGAATGCAGGAAAGTTCATGGACAAGTATGGATAAAAGAATATCCACTAGCACTGTCTCCTGGAAAAGCTGCACCCACATCTCAAAGCACTTGTTGCTTGAGAACACAACACTTGGACTTTACTGTCACTTCACTTTGACTACAGTTAAAAGAGAACAAATGAGACCAAAATATAAATATATATAAAAATTAGCAAACTGAACAAGCAACACTAATTGCAGGAGTTCTTGTCTTACAAAGAGTAATCATAGTAACATTTCTGAAAAAAGACGAGACATTCATGTCAGATAGTCAGGGAAAGAAAACAAAGCTATTTTCAATTCTCTTTTGAATCACAGAATCATCAAGGTTGGAAAAGATCTTCAAGATCATCAGGTCCAACCATCCACCACTAAAACATCTTATGAAACACCACATCCACACCTTTTTTGAACACCTCCAGGGATGGTGCCTCCACCACCTCCCTGGGCAGCCTGTTCCAAGGCCTCAACACTCTTTCTCTGAAGGAATTTTATCTAGTATCTAATCTGAACCTCCTCTGGTGCAACTTGACCCCATTTCCTCTTGTCCTATCGCTAGTCACTAGGGAGAAGAGGCCAACACCCACCTCACAATGACCCAATGACCTCCTTTCAGGTAGTTGTAGAGAGCAATGAGGTCTCCCCTCAGCCTCCTCTTCTCCAGGCTGAACAGCCCCAGCTCCCTCAGCCTCTCCTCATAGGGCCAGTTCTCAAGACCCTGATCAGCTTAGTTGCCCTTCTCTGCACCCTTTCCAGCAACTCAATGTCCTTCTTAGACTGCACACAGTGCTCGAGGTGCAGTCTCACCAAGGCCAAATAGTAGAGGGGCAGGACCACCTCCCTGGTCTTGCTGGTCACACTGTTCCTGATGCAGGCCAGGATGGTGTTGGCCTTCTTGGCCACCACTCTTTCTGGGAAGAAATTTTTCCTTATATCCAATATGAACCTCCCCTGGTGCAGCTTGACCCCACCTCCTCTTGTCCTGTTGCTGGTGACCAGGGAGAAGAGCCCAACACCCACCTCACCACAACCTCCTCTCAGGCAGTTGTAGAGAGCAATGAGGTCTCCCCTCTCCAGGCTGAACAGCCCCAGCTCAGCCTCTCCTCATCAGACCTGTTCTCCAGACCCCTCATCAGCCTGGTTGCCTTTCTCTGCCCCCTCTCCAGCACCTCCATGTCCTTCCTATCCTGTGATGCCCAAACCTGCCCCCAGTGCTCGAGGTGCAGCCTCCCCAAGGCTGAGCAGAGGGGCAGGATCACCTCCCTGGTGCTGCTGGTCACACTGCTCCTGATGCAAGCCAGGGTGGTGGTGGCCTTCTTGGCCACCTGGGCACATTACTGGCTCACATTCAGTCAGCTCAGAGCTGAATAAGCTGAAGAGCTGGCTCTGAAGCTCAGAGATTAGGGAATAGGCTGTAATGAACCTATTCTTTAGATTAGTCATGAGGAAGACAGGACAGAAGAAAGACTGGCAACACACTCCACAGCAGGACTTTCAGAATGGCAAAAAGAATAAAAATTATATCTAAGTGATGCATGAATTTGGATAAGAATCCTCTGGCAGCCACCACAGACTTGCTTTCCTCCCACACCAGAATAAGATGAGCAAATGATCAGGTTTCATTAAATGCATTATAATCTGGGCTCTCTATTAATCCCTTGCTTACAGTGTCAGCAGGAGAGCTAAGAGAGAGGAGGGGAAGCAGGCAGGCAAAAGCTCAAAAAGAGTTGTCTCAGCTTTAAGCCTTCTCCTTGCCCACAGAAGTTCCCTCCAGCTGGGCTGGTTCTGCCTGGAGCACAGAATCACTAAGGCTGGAAAAGACCTTTAAGATCACCAAGTCCAGCCTATGACCAACACCCCCACATCTCCAGACCATGGCACTAAGTGCCACCTCCAGCCTTTCCTGGAACACCTCCAGGGATGGTGCCTCCACCACTGCCCTGGGCAGTCCATCCCAAGGTCTGATCACCCTTTCTATGGGGAAGTGCTTCCTGATATCCAACCCAAACCTCACCTGGAGCAGCTTCAGGCCAGGCCCTCTCATCCTGTCACTGGTTGCCTGGAAAAAGAGCCCAGCCCCACCTGAGCACAACCTCCCTTGAGGTGGTTGTAGAGAGTGAGAAGGTCCCTCCTGAGTCTACTCTTCTCCAGGCTAAATAACCTCAGCTCCCTCAGCCTCTCCTCATCAGACTTTCCCTCTAGTCCCTTCACCAACCTTGTTGCAGCACCTCAGGATCCTTCTTGCAGTGATGGGCCCAGAACTGCCACCAGGACTGGAGGTGAGGCCTCACCAGTGCTGGGCACAGGGGAGAATCACATCCCTGCTCCTGCTGGCCACACCATTCCTGATACAAGCCAGGATGCCACTGGCCTCCCAGGCCACCTGAGCACACTGCTGGCTCATATTCAACAGGCTGTCAACCAGTGCTCCCAGGTCCCTCTTTGCTGGGCTGCTCTCCAGCCACTCTTCCCCCAGCCTGTAGCTCTGCAGGGCATAACTGTGGCCAAAGTGTCTGTCTGCTGGGACACTGTGCACCTAGGCCTGATCCTGCTCAGCCCTGCTGGAATTCAGGGGGAGGGAGAAAGGACAAGGGGAACCCAGCACTTTCACAAGCACATGCCTCTTGCCATTCAACTCCAGACCAGCATTTCCGAGTGGGAGTGAGTCAAACATTCAGCTCCTCATTCAAACACAGCTCAGCGACCCAGGGCAGTGCAAAGGAAATTTTCCAGGTCTAAAACCCTCACTGCTGCTCACATGACACTTATTTCAGCCAAGCTGAACAACAGTCAGTTCTGTAGGTGACTTTCTGCTCTTCTCTCTCTGCACAGGCACCCCCATTAAGGCTTCAAACCTCCCATGGCTTGAGGTGAGTCACTTTCTCTATAACTCAGGACTTGCCTGGCTGCCCTCTCCATCACTAAGGACTGTCCCTGCACAGCTACAGGAGGGTGACAGGAACCAAGGGTTAGAAATCACCTACCTGTAGCAGGTAAAGGAGTGCTGGAGCAAACAGTGTGAGAGGGTAGAGTGACTGGTATGTTGCTAAGGCCAGGAACACAGCACTGAGGAAGGCACTACCTGCAAAGAAAAACACTCATATTCATTTGTAAGGAACATTTGATATAAACAGCCTTACAGACAGGAAAGAAATGCATCACCAACATCAGACCACCACTTAAAGGTGCCAATGTGTCCAGGAGAGTGTCCTTTCCTAGCCACAGTTTGAACCAAGAATGACTCACAGCAAAGTGATTCTCACACAAGAAAGAACCACCAGCTGGTTCGTGGCTCTTGACATTCACACACAGCAACAGGATCATTCAGGCTGTACCTAGACCATGGTGAGTGCTGTTCATGCATGAGAATGCAGTCACTGAAGTGGTATCTGCAGGCACCAGCTGTTAATTCATACTGGGCATGCTGGATAACCTCATCACCAGACTGTATCAGAGTCTTCAGCAAAGCTCTGTGACAGAGCATTCCTTCAGAGTCTTCAGCAAAGCTCTGTGACAGAGCAAGGGCAACTCTGCAGCTGAAGGAATGAAGCAGCATGAGCCTGACTTCAGATACCAAAATTGAGGTACAGAAAGGATTAGCCCAACTTTTCAAAGTGGTCTTAAAAATACAAATGCCTTTCTTGAGAAAGCTTTATTTGAGCTGCCTCGGGTCAAGCTAAATGCTGAGAACTCATTGTCCAACTGCCAACACCAGAAATCAAGTCCAGAAGGTCCCAGACTAATCAATAAAAACACAAGTCCCCAGTGCAGCAGCCTGGTTACAGCTTTCAGTCTTATGTCACCTGATGGAAATAATCTGTAAAAATACAACTTAGACAGCAGGACTCCTGCCTGTGCATGGGACTTATTGTCAGCCCACTGCCACCAAACACTTGCTAAGCTTTTCTCTGCTTCTCCCTTTGGAAAGGGAAATGACAGGGTTACTTGGTGATGAGCCTTCTCCACCCTTCAGCTACACCTTCCTAGACAGGAACCTCCCTGTCCCCTTCCATTGAGTGTTCCATTCTGCACAGAACTAACAAACTGGTGTCCAGAAATCACTGTCAAAACCCGAGATCCTCTTTGCCCCTTTTCAAACCCAGAGGCTCCACCCTCCCAGGCAGGGAGGAGACATGAGGGCAGCCCCTGAAGCTTTGTCTACGGCTGAATGTCTTAGAGCATCAGTGAAACAGAATCAGCTTAACTAAATGGACCCCACTTATTTGCTTTTGCAAATGATTTTAAATCAACCCCCCTCCTGCCTCAATTATTCAACAACTGGAGGAACACTTCCTTTTGGAAACACCAATAAAACCAATCTGTACCAGCTTTCTTCACAATGTTTGGAGACAAGAGATCAGACTGACCTTGCCTCTTATAAAGTAGAGAACTCTTCAAACTTACATGACAAATCACACACACTAAAAGGCTTTAGAACTGGGGAGCCATAAAATAAAACCTGGTATTATGCATAAAATTAATGGAACAGCTATTCTGTCATCATCTAGTCAGCTGTGCCAGTATGGGTCTTTGGTTACTATTTCTGCTTTTAATTAGCTCAATTAGCTAATTTCAAACCAAGGTTGCAACTGTGAGTGAAAGCCAAGCAATAGCTGCAGGCAACTGCTTTTGAATAGAAGTTCAAACATACCCTTTGAAAATAAATAGCACACAACCCTTTAAATGCATATTCATGTACAGAAGAGCAGCAGAGCTTTATGGCCTCCTACACACAGACACACACTTTCTTCATACACAGAAAACTATTCAGAGCCATCCAGGAAGTCAGTTTTAAGAAATTAAACTTCTAGGTACACTGAGATGAAACATGTTTTAACTTGACTATAACACCTCCTGATCTCTAGTGATTTCAGGCAGAACTTTGACCTTCCTCTAGTCTCTGCTTCTGATGAGTTACACTGAGATCTTTCTAGCAATCATATTTATGAAGTTCCACCTTGACTTAATTTCTGAGAAGTTTCTAATCTTTCCAGAAAGACATACTGAACCATTTTCAGTTCCTTGTGTTACCTTTTATTGTAGCTAAAATGAAGAATGCAGTGACAGTGTTGTTGATGGCACAGGTGGACTTTGCCACACAAGACATCACAGTGTAGGGGTTTAACAGGTAGCTGCAAAAGAGCAAAGCTTCAGTTACATTCAGAGGAAACATTCAAGACATTCAAAAGAAAAACAGGCACAATTTGCCATTTCAGTTTCTGCACATTGATGGGATGTTCTCGTCATCAAGTTCATTCAGCTCAACAGCTGCTTCAGTCTGGAGAAAAAAACAGATCCTTGGGTTGTAACCTTGGAAAAGTGATCACATGGAGCACACTGGAGGAGATAGTTGGGAAATGTCTAAAATGCAAGTTGTATCCTAGAAAAAAACTACCAAACGTGTTGTTTGCTTTGCAGAAACGTTGTGCATTTATTCAGTCAGATCTAGGAATGTTTGGTCCAAAGTAAACTCTTTCTGCTACTCATATCTACTGACTCTGAGAAAGTAATACAAATAAGAAGATCACAGAATGTCAGGGGTTGGGAGGGACCTCTGAAGATCATCAAGTCCAACCCCCCTGCTAGAGCAGGACCAAAACTAGGGCAGGTCACTCAGAAAGGCATCCAGACAGGTCTGGAAAGTCTCCAGAGGAGGAGACTCCACAGCCTCTCTGGGCAGCCTGTCCCAGGGCTCTGTCACCCTCACAGCAAAGAAGTTCTTCCTCACGTTGAGGTGGAACTTCCTCTGCTTCAGTTTGAATCCATTGCCCCTCGTCCTGTCCCAGGGCACAAGTGACAAGAGCTTGTCCCTGCCTTCTGGATGCCCTCATGTATTGATAGACATTCATTAGATCCCCGCTCAGTCTTCTCCTCTCCAGACTGAACAGCCCCAGGTCTCTCAGCCTTTCCTCATCAGGCAGGTGTTCCAGTCCCTTCATCATCCTTGTGGCCTCCTTTGGACTCTCCAGTAGATCCCTGTCCCTCTTAAACTGGGGAACCCAGAACTGGACACAACACTCTAAGTGAGGTCTCACCAGGGCCCAGTAGAGGGGCAGGAGAACCTCCCTTGACCTGCTGGAGACACTTCTCCTAATGTACCCCAAGATACCATTGGCCTTCTTGGCCACAAGGGCACATTGTCGTCCCATGGATAACTAGACAGCAAGATGGAAATAAATCCTGAGACACTGGCAGAGTCTCCCCCCACCCAGTTGCACCTGCACACTCCTTCTATGGCAAAGCCACCATTTATGTGTCACCACAACATGATCTGAGCACAACACCTGTCACAGCTATGAAAATCTGGCATATTTTAATGGCAATTATGGAAAGACATCAAGCTTTGAACACCTTCTCCTTCCAGAATGCCCAGGACACCAGCTCCTTTGGGAAAGGAGAATTACAATAACCTCAAAAGCACATAAAACTGTTTTGAGGGATTACCAATACAATAAGGAAGATCAGCATTGCTAACAATGAAATCAATCATCACAGTGAGTAGATGGGGCTGATAATTTCCTAATTATCTTTTGATATAATTGTTTTCCCTACTTCCCCAAGTCCCAGCCTGGCTTTGTCTTTGTGTTTCCAGAGAGAGAACCTGCAGCAGGACAGGTTCCTGCCAGCCTTGCTGTGGTAATGTGCAACAATGGCAAACACAAACCAGTCTTTAATTGACAGATTCTACCTTTCTCACCCTGGGGAATTTACTATTTGACAAAATTAATAAAAAAGGAAGAAAACATAACAACTTTCCTAATGAAAAGTTTCTCTGTCAAAGAATAATTCAGATTATAATGGATTCACATCAAAATCCCAATAAAAATAATTAATTTATGTTAGTAACTTGCTTGTATATTATTAATTTTAGCTGAAACCTTCTGAAATAAAAAGATGTTTAGTACACAGAGGAACACTGAGATATGACAGTACTAAGATGACTTGAAGATTTAGGTGAGACATGAGGAGGAAATTCTTTGCTGTGAGGATGGTGAGAGCCTGGCCCAGGCTGCCCAGGGAAGCTGTGGCTGCCCCATCCCTGGCAGTGTTGAAGGGCAGGTTGGATGGGGCTTGGAGCAGCCTGGGCTGGTGGGAGGTGTCCCTGCCCATGCAGGGGGGTTGGAGCTAGATGATCTTTAAGGTCCCTTCCAACCCAAACCATGCTGTGATTCTAGGACCACCTGAAGATATCTTTGAATTATTAGAAGCAGTTCTGGGATAGTCAAGCTGTGATATCCAGCAGACATTTTGTTCAACTGCTGAAAACTTCTACCTAACTTTTCTGAAAAGACACCTGAGACATTTGGAGGCATAAAAGGAGTTTTGAGGACATTAGCATCCAGGCAAAAGAAATGGTGATCTGTGCAGACACAACATTCTTGCTACCAAATTAATGACCTTGTCCTATTGAGTCTGTTTTACATGGCCTGAGTGAATTCCCTTGTTGGCAACTCACATTTGGAAAAGCATCTGATTTTCACTTTCAGAGTATTCAGGGCTGGGGGGATTTTTATGTGTAATAGGAAAATGAGAAGTTCTGAAGAAAAAAAACAATCTTCAACACATGCTGAAGTCCCAAAGCAGCCAAGTAGCACCTAGAGGGAGCTGAGGGAGTAACACTTACCACAGTGCTACCTTTAGAGGGATGTAGTGCATCTCCATGGGTGTCCGGATGAGTTCAGCCACATCTGGTGCATATTTATCCAGTTCTATCAGGAGCTTTTGCTTTTTAAACTGAATGAGGGAGAACAAGCAGAGACTGTCAGATCAGGAAAGTCGTTATTTTTTATTACTCAGGGTTTCTGAGCCAAAACTCATGTTATGTGAGGTATTGCACAAACAGAAATACTTAACAACTGAAGTGGAAATCAGGAGAAAACAGATCATCTCTGCTTATTTGAACCTCCCTAATTACCTGAGTCTAGCTCTTGACATGGTTGACAGTCAGTTCACCCAATTAGAGTTTAATACTTTCAAGCTTCCTAAAGCCTGTCTGGATCTCCAAGGGAAAGCTGACTTTATCAGTCCCTCTGCAACAACCAAGGCCCTGAGAAACCTAGTCACAGAAGGTCTGTGTTTTTGGTTACTGTGAAGATGGACACCTCTGTGCCACACCCCTCCGAGGGACCCAAAAATCATTCTTTATTCCATCTTGTTCTATGATGCCTTCTATCCTCCTGTGGAGACCAAAGAGAAATCTGAATT